CAAAACGAGGTATAAATGGTCCCAGAAATTCTTTCAAACTACTTCAAAAATAAGACAAAGGATCTCTGGAATTCTTTCAAATTACTTCAAAGACAAAACACACGGAATCCCCGAGATTCTTTCAAATAACTTCAAAAACAAAATACACGATCTGGAAGATTTTTTTCAAATTACTTCAAAAAGAAGAAGGTTCTGCGAGACATTTTTAAATTATTTCAAAAACCAGACACAAGGAGTCCCCAAGATTCTTTCATATTACTTCAAAAACAGAACACAAGGTGTCCTTGAGATTATTTCAACTTGCTTCAAAAAACAGAACAAAATGTGTTCCCAAGATTCTTTCAAATTACTTCAAAAACCTGGTATAAGGGGTCCCTGAGATTCTTTCAAATAACTTCAAAAATAAGACACACGATCTGGAACATTTTGTTTCAAATTACTCAAAAACAAAAGGGCTCTTCGAGATTCTTTCAAACTACTTTAAAAATCAGGCAGAAGGGGTCCCCGAGATTCTTTCAAATAACTTCAAAAACAAGACACGATCTGAAACATTTTTTTCAAATTACTTCACAACCAAAAGGGCTTTTCGTGATTCCTTCAAACTACTTTAACAATCAGGCAGAAGGGGGTCCCCGAGATGTTTTCATATAACTTAAAAAACAGAACAAAAGGGGTCCTAATGATTTTTTCAAATTACTTCAAATGGGGTCCCCAAGATATTTTCACACAACGGGTATCAGAGATTCTTTGAAACTACTTCAAAAAAACAGAACAAAAGGGGTCCCCGAGATTCTTTCAAATTACTTCAAAAACCAGGTATAAGGGTCTCCGAGATTTTTTCACACCACATCAAAAATAAAACAAAAAGTGCAATACCCGAGATCCTTTCAAATTATACATATACTTCAAAATGAGGTATAAATGGTCCCAGAAATTCTTTCAAACTACTTCAAAAACAAGACAAAGGATCTCCGGAATTCTTTCATATTACTTCAAAGACAAAACACACGGAATCCCCGACATTCTTTCAAATAACTTCAAAAACAAGATAGACGATCTGGAAGATTTTTTTCAAATTACGTCAAAAACAAGAAGGTTTTGCGAGATATTTTCAAATTACTCCAAAAACCAGACACAAGTCATCCCCGAGATTGTTTCAAACTACTTCAAAAACAAAAGAAGTCTACGAGATTCTTTCAAACTACCTCAAAAACTAGACACAACGAGTCTCAGAAATTCTTTCAAACTATGTACTTTAAAAATCAGACACATGGAGTCCCCGATATATTATGTACTTCAAAAACAGAAAAAAAGTTGTCCTAGAGATTATTTCAAATTACTTCAAAAAATAGAACAAAAGGTGTCCGCAAGATTCTTTTAAATTACTTCAAAAACCAGGTATAAGGGGTCCCCAAGATTCTTTCAAATTATTTCAAAAACAAGACAAGGGATCTCCGAAATTCTTTCAAACTACTTTAAAAATCCAGGAGAAGGGGTCCCCGAGATTATTTCAAATAACTTCAAAAACAAGACACAGGATCTGGAACATTTTTTTTCAAATTACTTCAAAAACAAAAAGGGTCTTCGAGATTTTTTCAAACTACTTTAAAAATCAGTCAGAAGGGATCCCCGAGATTTTTTCATGAAACTTAAAAAACAGAACAATAGGGGTCCTCGAGATTAATTCAAATTAGTTCAAAAAACATAACAAAAGGTGTCCCCAAGATTCTTTCAAATTACTTCAAAAACCAGGTATAAGGGGTCCCCAAGATTCTTTCAAATTATTTCAAAAATAGGACAAGGGATCTCCGAGATTCTTTCAAACTACTATAAAAATCAGGGAGAAGGGGTCCTGGAGATTCTTTCAAATAACTTCAAAAAACCAGGCACAAATCCCCGAGATTCCTTCAAACCGCTTCAAAAACAGTGGAATTGAGAAACGACCTTGTGAATTTTTAAAATCTAAATTCCATTTTCACGTTTAATCTTAAATTAAAAGCTTATGAGTTAGTTATCTTTTTTTTATCAGATAAAACTACATTTGGTAATAATAACATATGGTAGTCATAATCCTGAGTATTCTTCTGGATTATTTGTATTTTAGCCGTTAATGTATATTATAATAATCGCCTATTTGCAAACACAATCTTTCTTCTGAAACTCATACAAGGTGAGGATGAAGATTTTTAATATTGTGGTCTCAAAAGACTCATACTCATAATACTTTTTGAAACTCGCTAGAAGTGGTAAGTTCAGACGCTTCGAACTTACTGTCATTAAGGATAATTGATACGGTCTGATTTGAAGATCAACTTGACATAAGTAACACTATGGTTACCTTTAACATATTTGCCACTTCTTAGTAATAGTGGACCTTTTCAGTGGCGTAACAATCAAACTGCGGGCCTGTGTTCTACAACACTGTGGGGCCCCTAATAAACAGCGAAATAAAAATATTTAAAAATACGAGTATAATGAGTAAAGAATGAGTAGATTGCAATTAGCGCTAACGTTTTATTAAAATCATTCTACCTGAAACATTGAATTAAAAAAATAAAATACAATAATTACCTGAAGACATATAATTAAAATATATACAATATTAGAAACTAGCCGACCCGGCAAACGTTGTTTTGGCATTTCTAGTGAATATTTTGGTACATAGTCAAATAAAAAATTAAATTCAAATAAATACATAAAAATTTATCGTACGACAATGATTATATTCAATGGCCAACTTGCAACCCTATTGCGCATCTGTGGATGAAAGCAAAGATACTCATATCGTTATTAAAAAATGGGGGTTGGTGGTAGAAGGGTCAAAATTTAGGGTTATATATATTTTTTGATGCCAAATCTTAAAAAAATAAAAATAAAAAATGTTGTCTAAAAAATAAAAAAAGTTTGGTAGGTCACCCTTATCACTTAGAGGTTTAAAAAATAGTTTACTAGACCTACCGAATATACACAAAAAATTTCGTAAAAATCGGTCAAGGCGTTTCGGAGGAGATTGGTTACAAACACTGTGACACCAGAATTTTATATTAGATTATTTTAGAAAAAAAATCATTACCATAAAAAAGGTTATACTGAGTCGACCTTAAAAGATTGACGTATGCTGTCGCGGACTTTTTTTTAGAACTTTTAGAAGGGAACAATTCCATCATACATGATTTTTATGTAATTTTAAGCGTTTAATAAGCAGCGTAAGCAACGGAAGCTGTCAAAGGACGAATAATTTTCCGTTTTTCCGATATTTTTCATTGCTGCTCCGCTGCTATTAATCATAGGGTGACGTTATATAGTCTATAACCTTCCTCGATAAACGCACTTTCCAACACAAAAAGATTTTTTGAATTCAAACCAGTAGTTTCTGAGATTGGCGCGTTCAACCAAACAAACTCTTCAACTTTATAATATAAGTAAGTATAGAAGTATAGAACTATAGATAAAATGCCCATTTTTTTTTTAATCTCAAAATTGTTTTCTTCTTGCTTTTCAATGGGCACAAGTTGATACAAAATTTGACACATCTAAGCTTCTAGCAATTTGATTTCCATTTGAGAGATTCAATGAAGGTAATTTGCATTGGCTCATTGTTTCTTAAAAAATTTTTAGTCATTTTTAATTTCGAAAAAGATCTTTCCGCTGAAACCACCGAAAGAGGTATTGTAAGAAAAGTGAAACATGCTGTGATAATTTCAGTGACACTAGTTCAGGTACGTCATTCTGTAATAATTTCCCAGTCCAGTTTTTTTTTCTACTTAAAAAATTAGTTTTAACATACGTCAGATATATTTTATTATTCCAAAAAAGCACCACAAGTACAAAATTAAAATAGTTTTGAAAATACGAAAATTTTCATAAAACACAACTGAAACTGATTTTTTTTTCACGTTTTATTACAGCATGAAGTTTCACTGTAGAACTGAGGACAAAATTTAAGTATTTTGTTGTCTTGCATCATAAATTAGTCATACTTTTGTCGGATAAAGATTGGTCATTTACTACATGGGGTGTTAAATTTGCTACAATGGTATTGCGACACTGCGACAGGTTTATTACAAACAGATGCTGCTGCATTTTCGACCGCCGGTGCCGGTCGCTAAAACCCGAGTTTATTGAGTCTATGATATTGAGATGCCGCCCTTTGCAGTAAAAAATTCGTAAATAGCAATCGACCATCGATCCTGGGATTACCGCACATTTTCGAATTTTTTATTTCAGGATGTAATTTGGGCAATAATATAAAAAAAATCTAATAAAAAAATGTTCGTGTGACCGGGCCGGGCCCCTTGAAGCAGCGGGCCCGTGTTCCGCCGAACACGTGGAACACCGGTAGTTACGCCACTGGACCTTTTTAATTTAAAGTTTTCATTATAATGTCATCTGTCGGAATAATTATGACATTTGAACTTCCCTTGCCATTACCACACGCTCAAAAAGGAGTGGAGCCATATCAGTGCCCACTTGGATACTAGAATCATTTATGAAATCTTGTAAAAAATTTTAACACAAATGTCGTTTCTTTGCCACAAAAAGTCTTATCTGCGACTCCACTATCAATTAGCAAAAAATCAAAGAAAACTGTTTTAAGTTTCAAATTGGTTTGAAGTTATTATGACCAATGACCATGTAGGCGAAACTTAATAGCTCAAATTAATTAAGTATGATAATTTTTAATTAATTCTCCTAATTCCGGTTGTAAGTGTGCCATAAATCACTCCACTGCAGCAACTCGGCGTCCCAGATAGTGATCTCCAACCTGCAAGATCGCCAGTCGCCGCTAGCCGAAAACACGTTCCGCGATCTTAATCTTTTTTCTTCGCACTCGTATCAGTCGTATCACCCATATCTTCGCTATCTCCCCCGCCGAGGCCAACGATACCGCTTTTTCTGGACACGATGAAGCGATTACAAATCAAATTTCCGCACACTCCGCCGCATCCGGTGAATAATTCCGGCGAATATCCGCGCCGCACCTAAACCTATCCACCAACCTAGCAGCAACAACTTGACGTCTCTTTTGGCCTTCTGGCCCTCCTCCTTCAGCGTCTGGTCGATCTGCTTGGTCCTGGCGATCGCCGCCCTCTCCTCCGCCGAAACCGTGCACCCCATGGCGCAGTCCTCGATGCACGACGTCTTGGCGGCGTTTGCTGCACTCGACCACGAAAGCACGCACCTTTGCACACGTGTTCGCCTCTTCGATCACTTAATCCACTTTACGGCCGACGCACTATCAGAAATCAACATCCGGAAACCGTGATTCGCTGGGCTTATTGGGTTTCGGCGAATTTCACGCGGACGCGTCCGGACGCTTAACACGGACAAAGATTGGATCGACAGATCGAAGTGGCCATCGGCAGATGGTTCGTTTTCATCGCGCCCTACCCCTCTGATACACATGTGCTTGGCAGAGGACGTCAAACGGTGGGGCCCCCACTCTCCGACACGCAGTGACGTACGTCTGATAAAAATACCAGGATCGCCAGACGACGCACAGTCGGAGCGAATCCGCAAAAGCGACCGATTTTATTTATTGGGCGGAAAATTGTGGATGGGACGGCGCTGGGTTAGGGTGTTTTTTTTTATTTCGGTGGGATGACGCAATGACGACGAGCAGTAAACAAAGTCTGACAAGCAGTTAGCTGTCAATCAATTTTCTCGCGTTCTGTACTAAAGTGAAGCTGGCATGTGGAGTTATTCAGCAAATAACTGCAGTGGACCAGTTCGTTACTGTTTTTTTCCATTTGAAAGGTAACACCGCTTCAGTGTCAGTTACAACACAGAAAACAAGTACTCTGTAAAAATTGGGTGTTTTATTAAAAAAAGAAAAACAATAAATCACTGATAAACATGGAAAAGAAAGATTATCCTCACAATAAAAATCCATTATATACTATTTTTATAACCAAACAAAGCTCAGATCTTATTATAGATGGCCAGTTTCCAGAAATTTGGGTCTTATCGCTACATACAATATATGGGAAATGTCACAAAAAATTACATATTTGTATTACTTTTTTCGTGGTATGAACACGGTTTACTGGAAGTAAGATTAAATCTGCCATTTATGAGTAAATGGGTTGGTTTTTATAAATATTGAGCAAATGTCAAAAATACAAATTGTCAAACAACACACTATCAGATTTTTTCCCACTTTTTCCAAATCAACGAAAAGTACATTAAACGAATAAAAACCTAAATTACATGCAACAAACAAAATTTCAAATAAAAGCGACATCCGCCAGGTCATTGATAAAGATTATGAAGAATGACGGGATTATATTTGACCCTTGGAACACCCCCATTTGAGCCACAAACAATTAAAAATGAAATAATAGGAAACTAATACTTCTCTTCCAGGCTGCTATGATTCCATAAGAATTAATGAGAATTTAGTGATATCAAAGCACAGAAATCGATCGATTTTGCAATTAGGCTCCGCCCCTCGGTCTGACAACGAATGAAAAATTCATCATGATTGAGATCGAGACGGATGGGTGGGGCTTCTCTGCTGGTTTTCTTTGTATCACACGATTTTGTTACTTGAGAACATATTTCACACGGTCATTTCTTGTAGAAAAATAAGGATTTTACAATTAAGCTCCGCTCCTCGGCTTACAACGAATAAAAAAAATCATAAGAATTGAAACAGGGCGGGTGGGCGGGGCTTATATTTTGCCTTTTTTGCTTCCTGAGCGTAAGCGAAGGAAATATTGTAATCGAGTCCGTCGGCCGAGTCTCAACTTCTACGTTTTCTCAACCTTTCATGACCCTTTACGAACAAATAGGTCTCCCGTTTCTGTCTGTCCGTCAGTCATTCCGGATTTTTTCTGAATATCCATAGCCATCTTTTCACAACAAGAAACTTCGAACATGGTTAAAATGGTACATTTTTGCAAGGAAATATGGATTTCGCAATTATGGGCGGAGCCTAATTGCAAAATCGATTTTTCCTTATACAAATTTTCCATTTTAAAGAAAATCGATTTTTCCTTATACAAATTTTCCATTTTAAAGTTTCATGTTGTGAAAAAAAAAGTCTACACACATTGCAACAAAAAGGTAAAATGTATGCCCGCCCACCCGCCCTATTTCAATTGTGATGATCTTTTTTTTATTCGTCGTGAACCAACGGGACAGAGCTTAACTACAAAATACTTATTTCTTTATAAGAAATTAAAAACATGTTTTTAAGTATCGTGTTTTTCAAAGAATACCACGTATATTAAGAAAAAAAAAGGCAAATTATTAACCCCGCCCACCCACCCCATCTCAATTGTAATGATTTTTTTTATTCTTAGAAACTTGAAACACGTTTAAAAGGATAAATTTTTGTAACGAAATATGGATTTTGCAATCAGGCTCCGCCCCCAGGCCTGCCAACGAATGAAAACTTCATTACTATTTAAATCAGGGCAGGTATGGTTAGGGCTTAATCTTTGGCTTTAATTTTTTCTTGATATACATAGTATTCTTTGAATTGCCCGATACTCAAAAATGGTAATTTCTTGTACAGAAATAATAAGGATTCTGCAATTAAATTCCGCTCCTTTGTGTCTCTACGATTAAAAAAAAAATCATTACAATTGAGATAGGGCGGGTGGGTGGGGCTTATATTTTGTCTTTTTTCTTAATATACGTAGTCGACTTTTCAGAAAAAGAAGACAAATATGAATCTTGCAATTAAGCCCCGCCCTTCGATCTGACAACGAATGAAATACATCACAATTGAGAATTGAGATCGGGGCCGGAATAGGTGGGGCCTAATGTTTGGCTTTATTTATTTATTTAGTTATTTATTTATTTAATATACACAAACTAACACTAGTTAGCACTTGTTAAGATAGGACTGATTTTGGCAAATGACGCCTTCTTAGAAAATAGAGGGCGGGTGGGCGGGGCTAGTACTTACAAAGATAAGACTGAACAATGTTACGAGTATTTACTGGAATGAAGTAGGTGGGCGGGGCTACTCCTTGCCCATAAGATCGTAGAAAAAAGTTAATCTTACTTAACTTAAATAGTACAAAAAGTTACAATTGCCGCTTTTTTATTTATTTATTTTTTTAATATAACCTAGGTTCTATTGGTTCCCATTCTCACTTCATAGAAGAATATATAATTAACCCCGCCCACCCACCCCACCTCTATTTCCGTGATTAATTTTATCTGCTCAAACTGAAAAATGCATCTTGTACTGACCAGAAATAAAATTAGGAATAGGGCGGGTGGGCGGGGCTAGCACTTGCTAAGATATAATACACTTTGAACAACACGATACTCAAAAACATCTTTTTATTTCTAGTGGAGAAATACGGATTTTGCAGTTAAGGTCCGCATTCTTGGCCCACAACGAATAAAAAAAAAATCATCACACTTGAGATAGGCCGGGTGGGCGGGGCTACACTTTGCCTTTTTTTGTTAATATGTGTACTCATCTTTTCACATCAAGAAACTTAAAACATGTTTAAAATGGTAAATATGTATAGGGAAATACCGATTTTCCAATTATACTCCGCCCCTTGGTCTGACAACGAATGAAAAATTCATCATGATTGAGATCGAGACGGATGGGTGGGGCTTCTCTGCTGGTTTTCTTTGTATAACACGATTTTGTTACTTAAGAACATATTTCACATGGTAATTTCTTGTAGAAAAATAAGGATTTTACAATTAAGCTCCGCCCCTCGGCTTACAACGAATAAAAAAAAAATCATCAGAATAGAGGCAGGGCGGGTGGATGGGGCTTATGTTTTGCCTTTTTTTACTTCCCGAGCGTAAGCGAAGAAAGTATTATAATCAAGTCCGCGGCCGAGTCTCAACTTTAACGTTTTCTCAACCTTTCATGACCCCTACAGTACGAACAAATAGGTCTCCCGTTTCTCTCTGTCCGTCTGTCATTCCGGATTTTTTCTGAATATACATAGCCATCTTTTCACAACAAGAAACTTTTTATTCGTCGTGAACCAACGGGACAGAGCTTAACCGCAAAATACTTATTTCTTTGTAAGAAATTAAAAACATGTTTTAAGTATCTTTTCACAACAAGAAACTTACAACATGGTTCAAATGGTACATTTTTGCAAAGAAATATGGATTTTGCAATTATGGGGCGGAGACTCATTGCAAAATCGATATTTCCCTATACAAATTTTCCATTTTAAACATGTTTTAAGTTTCATATTGTGAAAAGAAGTCTACACATATTAAAACAAAGAAGAAATATGTCAGCCCGCCCACCCGCCCTATCGCAATTGTGATGATCTTTTTTTTATTCGTCGTGAACCAACGGGACAGAGCTTAACTGCAAAATACTTATTTCTTTGTAAGAAATTAAAAACATGTTTTACGTATCGTGTTGTTCAAAGAATACCATGTATATTAAGAAAAAAGGCAAAACATTAACCCCGCCCACCCACCCAATCTCAAATGTAATGATTTTTTTTATTCTAAGAAACTTGAAACACGTTTAAAATGGTAAATTTTTGTAACGACATATGTTTGGAATTAAGCTCCGCCTCTTGGCCTGCCAACGAATGAAAACTTCATTACTATTTAAATCAGGGCAGGTATGGTTAGGGCTTAATCTTTAGCTTTAATTTTTTCTTAATATACATAGTATTAATAAGGGTTTTACAGTTAAATTACGCTCCTTTGTCTCTCTACGATAAAAAAAAATCATTACAATTGAGATAGGGCGGGTGGGTGGGGCTAATTAGGTTCTTCTGTCAAGTAGGAGTGGAAACTAATTAATAGAAACCGAAAATGTCTTCAACTAATTTTCGAAAATATATAGTTGAAAAATGGTCGAAAATGTCAAAAGTGCCAAAATCAGTCTTATTTTATCAAATACTAGCCCCGCCCACCCACCCTCTATTTTCTTGGAAAGTATTTCATTGGCCAAAATCAGTCTTATCTTAGCAAGTACTAGCCCCGCCCACCCACTTTCTTTTCATTGTAACGACTAATTTTATTTCCGTTCAGTGTAAGATCATTCATTTCATTCAAATCGGATACAATCACCGAAAAGGAGACAGGGTGGGTGGGCGGGGCTAATTATGTTTTCTGTCGAGTGGGAGTGGAAAATAATAATAGAAACCGAAAATGTCTTCTGGACATCGAGATCTACAAGAAATTGTTTTCAACAGTTTTTCGAAAATAGTCAAAATGGTCGAAAATTTCAAAAGTGCCAAAATTAGTTTTACATTATCAAATATTAGCCCCGCCCACCCACCCTCTATTTTCTTAGAAAGTCAAAATCAGCCTTATCTTAGCAAGTACTAGTAGCCCCGCCCACCCACCCTCTTCTCGTTCTAACGACTAATTGTATTTCTGTTCAGTATAAAGATCATTCATTTTATTCAGATCGAATAAAATCAATCACTGAAAA